GTACGGTCGGTCGGTACCGTACGTACGTACCGTACCGTACCTACCGTACTACTACTACGTACGTACGTAGTAGAGAGAGAGAGAGAGAGAGAGAGAGAGAGAGAGGACCACTGTTGGCGCCCCTAACATATTTAACTGATTAGAGTACATAAAATGTTTTTATAGGGCTACAACTCTATCAAAAGGTAAAGCTCCATCTCAAAACTTACCAAAAATTTCATTTTTGGAATTGAAAAACTTTCAAATCGTTTATAGTTGGCGAAAAGAAAATCAAGATTCCAAACCCTAAAAATAATTATTTTAGTATTTGTATAAAAGATTGGGCAACTGAGGTCCACTCCAGAACAAACCGGCGATCATGAGTCCACTCCCAATCGTTCGCGGCTCCTCACTAAACATCCCCACTCCCTCTTTTTTCTTTCAAATTTTTTTTTTAGGGTTTCTGAGAGCTTGCAACCTCTAACTTATAACCGAACTCAAGGCCACTACTTTCTCTCTCTACATACGTTTCTCTATCTACTTTTCTCACTCCTAGGTACGCAATCCATCCTTTTTTGTTCCTGTTATTATTCTTAGATTCCATTCTTTCTTGTTCCTTTTGTTACTCTCAGACTTCGAATCTTAGTGAGAGAAAGAGGAAATTTGGTTTTCATGGAATTGTTATTGTGTTAATGGCAAGAGGTCCAACTTCGCGTTTTCTCGCTCTTCCGTTAAAGGGCCGAAGATTGTTTAGTAAATGGTTTAGTGGGTCTTACCCGCCTCTCAGTTCTGCAACCATATCTAATAATATCTCTAATGCGTTATCACAATTTGGGTTTTCAAGTAGTCATAGATTTTCTTCAAGTTTCTCTCTCTACCAACAATTTCATGGGGTGTCTCGTGGGTTTCAACCCCAGAATTCTTTGGTTAGAGAGATATATAGATTTAAGTTTATCGCACTTTGGGGCATAAATGGGTACTCTGTGTTGATTGAGCATGAAAACTCAGGATCCGATATAATTTCCTCTGTTGATGAAAAAGATACAGAGGCAAATTCTGAAAAATCAGATACCTCGATTGTATTTGACCACAAATTAGTGACTTCTCGAAACCCCACTTTGTTATATCAAGAATTACGCGATTCTGAGATGGGAGATAAGCAAACCAAATCGGATTGGCAGGTCTTGGTCGATGTTATTCGATCTTTTGCTCGTTCTGGTTGGGCTTGTGACCAAGCTCTCGCCCTTTACATCAGTGGGTCCTATTTCCCCACTGCTGCTAAAAAGTTCAGAGCATTTTTCCTTAAAAAATGTCCTGATAATGTTGCTAAATACCTCATATCAGTTGGGCCCTCTGAGGAGGCCCACAAGTTCTTGTTCCCCATTTTCGTAGAATTTTGTTTGGATGAGTTTCCTAATGAAATCAAGCGATTTCAAGGCTTGGTTGAATCGGCTGATCTCACAAAACCTCACACTTGGTTCCCATTTGCTCGAGCAATGAAGCGAAAGATTGTATACCATTGTGGTCCAACAAATAGTGGAAAAACATATAATGCTTTGCAAAGGTTCATGGAAGCCAAAAAGGGGGTGTATTGCAGTCCCCTTAGGCTTTTAGCCATGGAAGTCTTTGATAAGGTGAATTCACTAGGGGTATATTGTAGTCTTCACACTGGTCAAGAGAAGAAAATTGTGCCTTTCTCCAACCATGTGGCCTGTACGGTTGAGATGGTTTCTACTGATGAACTGTATGATGTAGCCGTCATAGATGAGATACAAATGATGGCTGACCCATATAGAGGATATGCTTGGAGTCGGGCTTTGTTGGGTCTTAAAGCTGATGAGATACATTTGTGTGGGGATCCTAGTGTTTTGAAGATTGTTAGGAAGATTTGTGCTGATACTGGTGATGAATTGATAGAGAATCACTACCAAAGGTTCAAGCCTTTGGTGGTAGAAGCCAAAACCTTAATGGGGGACCTTAGAAATGTTCTACCCGGTGATTGCATAGTTGCTTTCTCAAGAAGGGAAATATTTGAGGTGAAAATGGCAATTGAGAAATTCACCAAGCACCATTGTTGTGTGATTTATGGGGCTTTGCCCCCTGAGACTAGAAGGCAACAAGCCAATCTATTCAATGACCAAAACAACGAATATGATGTACTTGTTGCAAGTGATGCAGTTGGAATGGGATTGAATCTTAATATAAGAAGGGTTGTTTTCTATGGCCTCACAAAGTATAATGGTAATAAAATGGTTCCTGTTGCTGCGAGCCAAGTGAAGCAAATAGCAGGAAGGGCAGGGAGGAGAGGGAGCATATACCCAGATGGGCTAACAACCACATTGCATATGGATGACCTCAATTATCTCATTGAATGCCTTCAACAACATTTTGATGAAGTGAAAAGGGTTGGTCTATTTCCTTTCTTTGAGCAGGTCGAGTTATTTTCTGGTCAGCTTCCAAATGTTACTTTTTGTCAACTATTAGATAAGTTTGGGGAGAATTCTCGATTGGACGGGTCTTACTTTTTGTGCCGCCATGACCATATAAAGAAGGTGGCACAAATGTTAGAGAAAGTCCAAGGGCTATCGCTAGAAGATAGATTCAATTTTTGCTTTGCCCCAGTTAATGTGCGAGACCCAAAAGCCATGTACCATCTATTGAGGTTTGCTTCTTCTTATAGCCAAAACTTGCCAGTGAGTATTGCGATGGGTATGCCAAAAGGGTCGGCAAGGAATGACTCAGAGTTATTGGACTTAGAGACTAAGCATCTGGTTCTGTCTATGTATTTATGGCTGTCTCGTCACTTTAAGGAGGAAACATTTCCATATGCTCAGAAAGCTGCTGATATGGCAACAAGTATTGCAGATTTACTTGGTCAATCTCTAGCTAAAGCCTGTTGGAAACCTGAAACAAGGCAGGCTGGAAGACCAAAGGACAAAATGAAAGAACAGGTTTTTCAGAGACCAAGATCCCTTATAAAGGCGGTTATTAAGTAAGTACTGTGTTCTTTATTTTTTCCTTTCCTTTTCTGTGGATAAGTTGCCGTCTATATTCTCTGTTTAATGTTTGATGAAAATTTAGCTGCAATTTTAGTACATAGGTATGTTTACCTTTTCATACGCATGCATACACACATTGATACACACGAACACTCTTCCGAGCCAAAATGATGCATGGATAGTCTGGAACTCTGGATAGCTCCGCCTACTTACTAGACAGTTTCCTATTCCTTGTACGTAAATCATTGATTTGGAATTGGAGCTGAATTGCTGCAGAAAAGCCAAAAAAATAATTTGCCCCAAAAACTATTATGTCAAGTATTGACACTTATCTTAAATCAAGGACCCTTTAGGGGCTTGAGCATCATAGGCTTGACATCATAGAAAGCTTTTGCTGCTGTAAGATGTAGGAAAAGGATCTTAAGACATTGACGAAACCATAAAACTGATGAGCTTCATTGAGAGGGGGGAGAAAGTGTATCTCAGGGTGTTTCTTGACTGTCCATTTCTCAATTCTTATAAATGGGGTCCTGGAAGGCTGCTTCTCTAGCTCTAGAGGTCTTAGGCAAGGAGTTCCTAGTATGGCAGAGGCTAGTATGAGATAGATGAAAATAGATGAAGAGGCTAGTATGAGATAGATGAAGATAGATGAAAATAGATGAAGAGGCTAGTATGAGATAGATGAAGAGGCTATATAGGTTTTTGAGATGTTTCGAGGTAGCCTATGTATTAGTCTGAACATGTCAAAAAATGAAGCTATTGGGATCTCTAGCCCTGACTATGAGCTTTTAGGCCTCACAGTCTTTTGGTTGTGGGGCTGAGCAAATGTCAAACACGTACTTTGGGTTGCCTTTATGCCAAAGCAAACCAATTTAGGCCATTTGTGCTAGTGGTTTGTTTTGTTTTCCTTTTATCTCTCTTCATTTTGTTTTTGTTTTTGGTTTTTTTTTATTTTGTGGGACGAAGGGGGGGGGGGGGGGGGGTGTTTGGGGGTTTATAGATTTATAGAGGGTTCTAGAAGAATTCTCCCTATTGGAAGATGGAATTCTTGTCCTTGGGATGGAGAGAGATTAGTTTTATTAAATCTACACCCTCCAAATAACCTATTTATTCATATCCTTTTACCTAATTCGCTCACCAATTGCTAACAAATAAAAAGACTTTTTGAGGGATTTCCTTTGGGGAGGATTTCCAGAGAAAGATAGATTTCCCTTAGAAGATGTATACAAGCAGAAGCATAAATGGAGGCCGGGGATGGGAAAATAAGAGTATAAAGAAAAGAAGCTGTCCTAGCAAAATGGTAGTGGGGGTTTGGATTCAAGTAGACGATGTATAATAGCAAATATAATAAAGTAAATCGGGTTGGGATGAATCACTGTGTTTTGTTGAACTCATCTGAGCAGCAGGGTATCATGAGCATGGTTTTAGGTTCTCCGGAGAACCCATTGACCCTAAATACTTGGGTCCCAGGGAAGATAATGTCCATAGCTGGCTAAATGCATAATAGCCGATTACAACCACAATACAAGTGCGAAAAAATAAAGCAAAATCGAGAGCAAACCACAAAATATAAGATATAACATGGTTCACCCTAGAGTGGCTACAGCCACAAGCATTGTCAAAGTCAAGGTCCACTCCTTAAGCATCAACAAAACTCTGGCTGATTTCTCGTCAAAACTCTTTTTTCCGACCATGTCACTTGCGTACTTGTCTTGTTCAGGAAGAACTTGTTATTTGGTCTGAGTTTACTTCTTTTCAGAGCCACCTTTTCCACAAAGTTCGAAAGCTGCACCTTCCATGGGTTACCATGGAAGGGGTGGGCTCCTAAAAACAGTGTCATGTAATGTTGTTTTTAGGCCTACTGGAAGCCGTGGGTTCCAAATTGCAACTACCACTCCTGCCTAACAAAAGTGAGTGCTACAGTCTTGGAAACCGGCTTCCACGAAACAAATGCTCCCTTAAAGATTTGTCTCCATTTTCCTGGGTATCGTTTTGCTTGAAATTTGGAGTGTTGATTTGCAGCAGTAACTCAATGTTACGAGGAATAAATGAATAAATAATTAAAAGAATAAATAAAACAGTTACCTCTATGCTTACATGTGTCTCTATTCTTTGCAAAGCCTGTCTCAGGATTCTATGACGGAAAAAGTTCTACACAACTATGAGAAAAGGAATATAATCGCGCATCTAAATCTGTTTTAAATGGTAAAGTGTTATTTGATAGATAACAAAACCAATACTCTACTGTACTACATGACTTACAGTCTCTGTCGCAGATATTTATTTCTGATTGGGATCAAGCCATATATGATAGTGGTTTATCACTCTCTCGAAGTTTGGGAGCATGTAAAATTGTCACTTATTGTTTATATCTAGATAACTGATGTTGTGCATTAACGTGCAAGAGAGAGAGAGAGAGGGAGAGTCATGTTTTGTTATGGATGGTTCAGCGATTGGCTTTTTTGAAAATCATAATTTCCTTTGTCCACTTTAGGTTTGTCAGTTCCACTGGTGCCCTTTGCTTCTCAGCCCTAGCTGCAGCTCTATAAATTGACTGATTTTGTGATTCTTGTTCTTTATCCATATTTAAATGATCTGACATTGCTGATATGCTTTCTCACAATAGGAAGAGAATTGAAACGGAGACATCGCGCTCTTCCAAAAAGGGAGTCCCAACATAAAGTTATACATCTTGCATTGACCGTTGAAACCAGATTCACATTATGAGCTGCAGCATCAAAAGTTTTCAACTGCAAAAGCAGTAGGCGCGGGTGCCCTGCCCTCGAGAAGGATTGGGCTTCACGGGATAGGCATGGTTTTACGTGGGGTGTATATCATGCTTCTATAAATTATTTTTCATCAAATAACATGTTGTGTGTTTGTGATTAGCATGTTCCGCCAGCTACCAGTCATAGGAACTTTTTTTAAAATTATTTTATTTTATTTTAAATATTTATTTCTCATGTTTGGGATCAATGAGAATGGCTACTTGGATATACTTCATGCCCAATTTTGCTGATTTCATAATTTGGAAATGATAAAAAGTACACCATACAACTTTAGTGTGTATTATATGGTACTCCACCCACGCGTGTCGATTTTTCATGATATGAACCCTATGTCGGTAAATTATAGCTCTTTGGTTCCTATTTTCAAAACTAGCGGTGGAAATTTTTATAGAAACATTTGCAGTTGCATTTCATCGTGCAGATTTTTCTTTTTCTCGTGGAGTTTCAACACTTGAAATTGAACTTAATACGCGACATTACTTATTTACTCTCCGATTTCGTTACTTGAATTTAGCTATTTTTCCATGCGTCTTCCTACAGTGATTTTATTTGCGAAACAGCCTTTTGCTTAAATCTAAACATGATGGTTGTCGAAACTTTCCTCCACAAAACCAAAACAAATCAAAACAATGTGGCAGTTCTTCCATTTATTTCACTTGGGAGAGTAGTACTCCTCCCTACTTAAAAAGAGACCCCAAAAGCCAAAAATAAACATTGATTTTACCTATATAGATAGATGCATGTTTAGGTATGTTAACACTTCAAGGACATGATAATCATGTGTAACACTTTGAAAATTTTAGACACCATATTTCACTAAAATCTCATTTAGATGCATGCGTACACACATCAAGGATACGATGTTACTATATAACACTTCAACAAATTTTAGTCACTTCCATTTAACCTTTCTCCATGAAAGCACTCGATATGACTTCAGTCCACTAAGCCTCCATGAAAGCGCTCGATATAACTTCAGTCCACTAAGCCCACATATATTACTCTCCATACGCGGTTCAATTTTTTTGGATAATTGATAAAAGTGATAAGTCCATGAGATTTGAGTCCTAACTCTTGAATGGAATGAGAGACCTTACCATGGAGCTCGACAATACTACCATCAGAACCATAAGCCATTCTCAAAACACTTGGAGAGGGAGAGGCAACCAGCACACCATGGGATGCGTAATCCCATACATGTTTCTATCTCTTCATTAAAAAACAAACAATTGCACACATCTTGATTCTTATCAAGAGCATCTAATGGTACACCTCGGTGTCCTTGTAACGTGGGGTCGGACAACACCAGACTTGGGAAGTTCAAGCATCTGAACTTTACGGTCCTAAGGTTAAAAGAAATGCCAAATAAGAACGAGGCAACTTTATCACATAACCCTTACATATGGTCAAAGATGAGTTTTGCTTTCAAGAGGAAGTTACCACAATTTTGCTTCACGAGAGACAGGTTCAGGTCTCTAAAATATATTGGCTGTTCCAACTTCCCAAGCCAGTCTTGGTTATCTAGGCCACCAACTAAACCCAAACATGACGTTGAGGAGAACCAAATTTTAATGTAATGAGGAAAAACTTTTGCCGCCAACTGGACCCGACATGATAGACAAGAACCATATTTTTAACACAATCAGGGAAGACCTTCAATATATTTTATGGTGGGGATCACTTTCATCAGTTCAACCGGTTTGATGACCAATCGAACCACTAATTGAACTGGAATGAACAGTTCGCCAGTTCAATGAATGGCTTGGATTTAATAACACTGGTTCCAGCTGAATCCCCTGCTTATCCAAGCTAGACAAAATAAAAAAGGAACTTACCCACCCATTTAAGCCTCTCCAAGATTTTTTTTTTCTTTTTTGTTTGGACAATGACTTAATGACAATAATAAAAAAAAAGAAACAGAAAAAAAAGGACATTGCTTGCATACATGTGTGAACCTCTAATGGATTGAAAATGCAAAAATGGACTTCTTGTGCCACATAATCAAAACACAACACCGATCTCTCTCTTTTAGCACAAACCATGACATTTTGAGCCTGAGGTACATGAATACAAATGTCATTGCTTCTACCCCATGGAAGGATGCATGCATGCAAAACGGTACATCATTTTGCAAAGCCATATAACTCTCTCTTTCTCTCTCCCTCTCTCTCATACACACCCTTCTCAAACGCAGTCATGCGTATGACCTGTTTCCAACACATACCAAGTACATTTTAGGCTCAAGCATTTGAAAGAATCAGATGTAATGTGTTGCCCACCTTGGACGTGCTGGGCACCCCCATCATAGTGAAAGCAATACGCTAGCCTGCGAGAAAAGAAACATAGATAAAAGGATGAGCGGCACACTCCCTACGCAGGTGTTATCCTGTTCAGGTTCAAAGGGACTCTCTCAGCCTGCTCCTGTCATAACCTCTCAGCCATGGCCATGGCTTACTTGAAAGAGAGAGACAGGGCAAGCACCCCTGGTGCCTTGCTTATGTCAGTAAACTGAGCATGCACACATGTACCACCGAACTCCAAAACCAAAACAATATAGCCCCAAAAAAACAAAGCCACGACAAGCCATGACAGAGAAAAACGAAAACAGAAAAAGAACATGAAGATAAAAGAAAAAACCACAAGCACATTGTGGGTTTTGATTACATCCTAGCCATAACAGAGACTAGCATAACAAGTAACACACTACAATATCTGATGTTTTATTTATGTAAACTCAAGATAAGGCTTAACATAGCCAGGAAAATATAGGTCCTATGTAGGAAATCTAAAGACTCACCTAAATGGCAATGCATTTAACTTCTAAAAGCTAACAAGCTGGCAGAGGAGGCTTGAAGCAAAGCTGGGCCCTTCAGGGGCTCGAAGCAGCTCTTTTTGCGGAGTCCTCGAAGGCACTTATTATGTCAAGATCTTCTGTTTTATTACCTATCATGGAAAAAAGAATTTTAAACAGTAGACGCAAGATATTTTAACATAATGGGTTAGCTTCACTTGACTTCTTGGCATGATTATGGAATTCTTTACATATCGTGAATACTTTTGAGGCTTAGCACACTTAATGGAATGTCTATCATGCATTGAATAAAAATATGCTCTGGTTTCCAGAGAGAGGTACAAAGATCCCATTCACAAGACATATATCAAACAAATTATAGAATAGTAATTAACTGATGCTTTACAACAGATAAATATAAAATAAATGACCATACGCTAAACTTGCATAGAGTATAATGAGCATTACTCCATCACCATCAGCTGTTCATACTTATCAAGAGTGGAGGCCTGGCACTATTCCTTGAAGAACTTAAAAGCAAGACAGCACCTCACCATCGGAGTCCATTGATAAGCATGAATTCTATTAGGCTGTCAATGGGCCCAGGCCAGCGTGGCCTGAGCCTAGCCTAGCCCGAATTGTATCATTGAGGACTGAGCCCAGACTGTATGTATATTACAGTGGGACGCCCTTGGGCCTCAAAATGTATACAGCAGAAAAAAAAAATATTATATGGAGTATAGTATATGGAATATTCTGTAGTATGCAGTATAGTATATGGACTACAATTCATGGCATATGGATTATAGAAAAAAGTGAAGCATATGGACAATAGAAAGGTAAATTCTCAGGCCAGGATCCACCACAAAAATTTGATTGGGCTGACTATGCCTGGCCCAGGCCGGGTCCGGTGGCTCTTAAAAGGGTGGCCTGAACTACGCTAGTAGCCAAGCCCACCCAGGAGGCCCGCAAGCTGCCTGGCCTGATTGGCGACCAAGAGTCGGATGGCCAGTGTTGAGTCCCCTAAACACTACCCGCTGCTTGTATTGTATATTTTCCCATAAAATAAAATAATCCAAAACCCCAACAGTTACACAGGAAATATCCAATAACTGAAGAAAAAAAATCATCAATGCTCAAGACGGGAAGAAAGGAAGAACGTTTCAGCAGTGAACCCAAGAGCACTCACCTTGCAATGACCTTCACCTTTTCATGGTACTTGCAACATAGCTCTCAGGCAGGTAGATTTCACCCCCAACCTCACCATGCTGCTCCCCACTAACAGTCTTCTTCGCGGATAAGAACTCAGCACTCATGGCATCCATCCCATGCTGCACGGCTTCCTCTGCACTCCCATAGCCATGCTCCTCTGCATATTTCCTCACATCCTCTGTTATCTTCATTGAACAAAACTTGGGTCCACACATTGAACAAAAATGAGCTACTTTGGCTCCTTCGGACGGCAATGTCTCATCATGGAAAGACATAGCAGTCATGGGATCAAGCGACAAAGCAAACTGATCCATCCATCTAAACTCAAACCTTGCTTTGCTTAATGCGTCATCCCATGCTTGGGCATGAGGATGGCCTTTTGCTAAGTCAGCTGCATGAGCTGCAATCTTATATGCTATGACCCCAGCCTTCACATCATCTCGGTTGGGTAGTCCAAGGTGCTCTTTAGGAGTAACATAGCAAAGTAATGCAGTGCCAAGGGCTCCTATATTGGCAGCTCCAATAGCTGATGTTATATGATCATAACCAGGTGCTATATCAGTTGTCAATGGGCCAAGGGTATAGAAGGGAGCTTCATGGCACCACTCTAGTTGTTTCTGCATGTTTTCAGGGATTTTATGCATTGGAATATGACCGGGTCCTTCATTCATTACCTGAAAGCATTAAAAAAAAAAAATTCCATATTCATCATAAGATTGAAAATAATGACAATATTGTCTGGGAAACAGTTCTACCCAGCAACAACCTCATGCAATATGTAATCATCACCCTTTGAATTCATTTAAACTGATACAACAAACACTGAGGCTGCTCCCAGACTCTTTTTTAACTTATCAATAATCAAAATTATCAAGCTTCAAATACCAAAAATAGCAGTTAGTTAAAGGGGTTTTCTCTTTTCCAAAATTAGATTATCAAGTGCTGGCTCCAAATGTGGAAACTATGGTAACAAAAGCAAAGAAATGAACTGACATATAATACTTGGGATGCTTTCAATAACAATTTTCTTATGTGGAAAAACCAAGCTAAGGTAAACTTTTTTCAAAAATAGAGAGACTTCAAAATCATACATACCAATCCTGGGACCCATAGTAGACAAACTGCATAAATTTAAAGTTAGAAAACTATATAGTCTCTGCTATCCTATCAAGAACTTCACGACACTCTATGATGTTAGAAAATACACTCATTCAAAAAGAAAAAAAAACAATCATGTAAAACTTTTCCATTGGAATAAGAGGGATCTGAGAACACAAGAAAAATATCAGCCATAAACCCAAAGTATGTAAATCACAAATATCAGTATATGGGCTGAGTGGAGTATATAAATCACATACAAAAATTCATTTCAACAAAGAATAAGTAAACAAATTGAAAGAATCTAATTCTGTGAAAAAGAATGGAATGAAACGTCTCAAAGAGAGCCTTCAACATATATTCATCTCAATATTCCATATAATAATTTGAGCCCGTAAAAATTCCTACATATAACAATCCAAAATAATCAGCCTGGTGCTTGTAAATAGGGAGGCAGCAGTACCTGCACATCCTTCTCCCAAGCTCGACGAGTTAACTCGCCCTGTGTCAAAAGCTCGGCAAACTGTGCAGTGTCATTGGCATCATATATTGACCCAGGCCTCAACCCATCACCAATAGAAAGCGCCACATCGTACTGGTTACAAATGTCCAGAATATCATCCCAGTGCTCATAAGCAAAATTCTCTTTGTGGTAAGCCAAGCACCACTTTGCATGAATGGATCCTCCCCTTGAAACTATCCCAGTCATTCTTTTTGCAGTTAGTGGAATGTAGCGCAGAAGCACTCCAGCATGGATGGTAAAGTAATCTACACCTTGCTCAGCTTGTTCAATCAGAGTGTCTCTAAAGACCTCCCAAGTAAGATTCTCAGCAATTCCATCGACCTTTTCAAGAGCTTGATAAATAGGTACAGTCCCAACAGGAACAGCAGAATTTCGAAGGATCCATTCACGGGTTTCATGAATATGTCGGCCAGTTGAGAGGTCCATGACAGTGTCAGCTCCCCACATGGTGGCCCATTGAAGCTTGTGCACCTCATCCTCAATCGAGCTTAAAACAGCTGAGTTTCCAATATTTGCATTCACTTTTACCAAAAAGTTTCTACCGACCAACATGGGTTCTAACTCTAAGTGCTTCTTATTGGATGGAATAATGGCTCGACCACGAGCAACCTCAGAACGTACAAACTCAGGGTCGAGCTTCTCACGAGTAGCACAGTATAGCATCTCTTCAGTTATAATGCCTTTCTTGGCATAGAACATTTGGGTGTATCTTGGGCTGCCTAGCTCTTCCCGCCTTTCAATCCATTCTTTTCGTAACTTTGGCAAGCCTGTCAAAAATCAACAGCTCATTCATAACAGAACTTGTGAAATCCCTCTTCTTCTTTCTTTAGATATATATTTATATAAAGGTCGAACTGAATTTCATGACTGATTCATTAGATATAGAAGTATAATGCAATCATGCAATTTTGAAGAAATATCATCCTAGACAATATTGCATAGAAGCTGAGTTGCGGAAATCTAAGAGAATGCAAATAGAAGGATAAATATCCAAAAACAGAGAAGAACAAACAGAGTCAACAAAGACAAGTTTGATCCAATTGCAGCATTTCAAAAGGAAAAACATCAGAGACAAATTCTTTGTCCAAGAGTGCAATCCACAGAACTAGTCTAAATATATCCACAGAATAAGCAAAAGCTATCCAATTCGCCAAAGAGTATGCATGTGGATATAAAACAGTGGTTGAGAAAATTGCATCAAGTTCAAAACTTCATGCTTACCAACACGAGGATTTATGTTCTGCGGTCCACTTGTGTCGTATGTGTCAAAATAAGGCTCCTCCCCAGACAGGTGTACCCGTCGAAATGGAACTTTAAGTTCATGGCCAGATTGTTCATGAACAACCTCCCTGAAAAGAACCAGGAACCATGAAATTTCCCATTGAAGAGGAAGAGTACTTAATTCTTTTGGCCTAGAAGAACGAACCGAAAAGCTTAAGACAATTTTTTTCTTTTTTTTTGGGGGTGGGGGGTTTAATAAAGTTTAAAACTTTCAACCAAATTGCATTGAATCTTTATTGGGTAGAAAAGTTAAAACACTGAAACTCTACTATCGTCCAATAGACCATGTTGAAACCATAGTTCATTAGGTCATTCAACTTCCGATGAAATTATAGCACACTAAGAGTGGGACCCACTGTTTTGGAGGGGGGGGGGTTCATGACTAGTTCTGGTAGGACCCGCACTCTCTCCATTAGCATCCATCATTTCATTGGATGGCAATCACCCTGATGGTCTGGTTATCTCCAGACTATTGTATAGTGTACTTTGCTCTAAACAAATTATTAACACATGGCAGAAATATACCTGTATTCCTTTGTGCTTTTAGGAAAACATTCTGAAAATGATGGAATGGGTAGAAAATCTGGGGATGATGGATCCACTGTGTGTCTGCTTGGTTTCAGCTTTTCTTGACCAGAAGTTGGATTTCCCACGGCCAATGTGGCTCTAGGCACCAAACTTTGTACTCCTGTTATCACATAATTCTTCCTTCCATTTGAAAATCTATTTGCTTCTTCAAACCAAGGTAAAAGAACATCCTTTGAAAACGTTCTTTTGCAAGGGACTGAACTCAAAGCAAGGTGCATAGAAGCCATCTCTGCATAACGTACATGTTTGGTGGAAAGTAAATATGAAGTTTAGGCCTTGTTGTAATTAAACAATGTAAAAAATGAAAGATAAACTCGTAAAGAGCTAGCCATGCTATATACACACGGATATATGTGGGAGTGTCTACAATGGATACAAGTCTCAGAAATGTTTTACTCACACGACATGTCAATGCATCATTTACACAATACATTCATACATCATTTACAGATAGGGGGACGTGGATTTTAGGTGGTTATTTCTATAGAAATGTCTCAAGAAGAAATGTTTAAGTGTCTAAGTTTCTTTTAGTGTTAGACGTAAATGTCGCATCCTTGGTGTGATGAGACACATAAGATACGATAGACAAATGTGTCCATGTTGCATTGCAAGCTAGTGAGTTGGTGGATAGTTTAGTTCTTTTCAAAAAGCAAAAGTGTTGGTGGATAATTTAATTAAGGAAGGAGTGAGACTCCCTGCCCCCCCTTCCCCCCCACCCCACACAAACCCCCACATTCCTCTCTCTCTCTCGAATACTCTTCTCTTAGACCATGATGGGTGGATTTGCAGGTGTGGAAAGTGAAGTACATAATATAGCCAGAAAGGGATTTATGCACCGAGTGTGTTTGTTACTTTTGATAAAGTAGTTGAGTATACTACACTCTATCAAGAAAAATTAATGGAAACACAAATAAAGATATACTTGTTGAACTCAACACACCATCAAAGATGCACCCTGGGAGACCCAATTTCTTCTATTCTTTTTTCTTTAGAAGTTATCTCTTTTCTATATTTTATTAACAATACCATAGTCGACCAGTCACAAAAAAGGGGAATTTATCAAAATACATCAAAATTATCATCTATTTAACATTTTGCCTTTTTCAACTATTCCCACTCATGATGATGTGTATTTTCATTGACATTTTAAAATTAAATCAAATGATGTGGTTAACATGTTAAGTAATGCAATTTCTTTTAATTTATTACAAAAGTTAACATTCTCAAAAAAAAAAAACCATGTTAAGTAATACATCTGTTTAGATCCATTTTAATAAATTTCCCTAGGAAAAATGATGTTAGAAAACTTGAGTTAATCCAATAATGTGACCCAAATTCAGAATCAAGAAAATTTCCCAAACCACAAAAGCGGTCTCTAGCCAATCAAATTTTCCCCTTAAAATCCCAGCTCCTTTTTTTTTTTTTAACTGAGGATCCTTATTCTATTCCCATCTCTCATTGTTGTCTACAATATTTGCTAACTTTTATTTTTAGGGGGTTGGTGCTTGATTGGTGCTTGTTGTGATTGTATCATCATGGAATACACTTTTGGTGACCAAAAGGTCACAAATTTCACAAAAAATCAGCCACTCAACAAGAAAACAATTAAAAAAAGAAACAATCGATGGTGCAGCTATTTAGGACTACAAAATAATCAGTCCATAAACAATTGTAATGGCAGAAAAGTCTAGAGTCTCAACTTATCCATTGAGAGAGAGAGAGAGAGAGAGAGAGAGAGAGTAATCTCTGTACTAGTGCATGTAGAGAGAGAAAGAGAGGCATTTAGAGAGAGAGGGAGAGAATAATATCTATACTAGTGCATTGAGAGAGAGAGAGGGAAGGGGGCGCAATCTGAACTTAAAGAAAAAAAGGAAAAAAAGGAAAAAAAAAAGAAAAGAAGAGAGAGAGAGGGCCAATCTCAATATTACCTGGTCAAGGCTACACCTTTCCTGTTCCTCTTCCTTCAAAAACACAATCCTAAGGCTTACTGGTAGTGTGAGAGCAGGATATATACACAAGGAAGATGATGTTTCGTAGCCATACAAAGCGAAATCTGAATGAGTGTTGCTGGACACCTATACCAAGAGAGATATTTCCGGAGAGAGCTTCTACCAAAATATCAACGGTTAAGAAAAAGTATGCAGTTATTATAATAAAAGGAAAACATAAAAATTTTACACGCGTCCCCTTCATGCAAAATGAACCAAGAATGGATGTTTTAATGGTGGGTTTCTTGTGAAATTCACTGTCCATTTTAGACCTTTTCTCAACTCTCTCTCAACTAAGCAGGTAATGGAAGCGTAATTTTTATTAAAGAAGAGTGATTTTGTGTAGGGGTTTTATAATTGGGAAAAGTTTATATAGAGCCCATGCTCTAAACAATCGAACCTACTTCAAAATTTCACTAGAATAGATTGTTTAGATAGTCAAACATCATCAAATTGATTACCTCGACCTCAAAATGTATGGACATGAGAAGAAACGGATTTCAAGTTTCGGATATAATGCATCTTTTAACGCACATTTGACCGTCAATTTTCAAGATTTTCATATTTTCATAGATATGCTTGATCTACACTTATTTTGTAAGCTTAAAATTTAATAATTAAAAATAAAAGTGTATTTCAAGGCTATTACAAAAAATTTCAATATTGAAACCATATTTCTCGATACTATTTGATGGTGGGCTCTAATTTGATTGTTTAGAACCTCGGCTCTGTACAAACCGTACCCTTTATAATAACATAATAAAATAAATTTTAAAAATTATATTAGGGCTATTTGTTTCATCTCAATTTATAAGCATATAATTTTTTTCATTTTGATAAACAATTACAACTAAATACATTTAAAAATTAATTTTAAAAATGCTTTTTAACCCACTAGATCTATCTACATGATTAGATCTATGCCTTAGAAGGCACCTTTTCATTTTTTAAATTTTATAGATGACTTTGCTATTAGGGTGGGGTTTGCATAGAGCCGAGGCTCTAAACAATCAAATTGGAGCCTATCTTAAATAGTATCGAGAAAAGTAGTTCCAATACTGGAAATAGCCTTAAAATATATTTTCATATTTAATTATAAAATTTAAAGTTTAAAAAATACTGTAGATCGAGCAAATCTATGACAACTTGAAAAAATTTTGAGTTGGGCTCAAATTTGATTGTTTAGAGCCTCGGCTCTATATAAACTTTTCCCTTACTATTATTAGATAAACAATGCTAATAAACAAGGAATTAATTGAGCTTCCAAAGGCTTGGATCTTAAAATTCACCAAATGAACAATCTAGATTTATTATTGGAAGAGACTTATCTTGACCATATGTAAAGTGTGAACCAATTGATTGTTGGAATGTCCCTATGCAAAATTTCGGGTGACACGTACTACATGTTGGAAATGTGGCCTATCGGCCCTTTTTCTCCCTGTAATTCTTGTTTTTTTCAATAATAGTGTAAAAGTCATATTGAAGTATATGTGAAATCTCATGTAGTTAACATGAGGCAATGCCATAAGCACTGATTCATTTTTGAGCTTTAATAGGGTGTATCACTGGAGAGAAAAACCCAATATCATTGGAGGGAAAACCCAGTAGTGTGTTTGGATTTCTTGTAAATTGTGAGAATGCTTGGATGATATCCTATTATATGAGTCATTAGTGGACTAATGACATGTTTAGCTCATTTCATAGGATTAACAGTTTGGTGACAACTTTTTAATCTTAATTAGCTGCATTAAAGAGAATTAAGGCAAGAGTTACACTTGGGTCTCAACTCCAATAGACCATGAATGTGAGAGTTACTAAATAAAGGTATTCTCTATAAAAAGAGATTAACCTCTCTAGAAAAGAGAGAGAAAAATAGAAAAGAGGTGAATGAGATTCATCAAAAAAGACTCTCAAGGTTGCTTATCACCAGATGACTAGGTCTATAGGATTTGGTATAGAATCTTATGTCCCTCGTGTTCTTTAAGGACATATCCGAATAAGTTGTTTATCGATTTTATTTATTTATTATTATTATTATTATTTTTGATGGGACTAACAATGGTATCAGAGCGAGGTTTGTAGATTTATGTTTGTAAAAGATGATATCTTTGTAGAAAACAGGTCTACATTAATAATGTGGGATGTGTCCTAATAACAGTTAGAGTATGTTTTATGGATACGAGCCACTGGATTCATTCTTGTCCAATGCATTATCTGTGCATATTATTTTTTACTTACCTTAACAAAACCATGATTGAACGACTGTTAGAGATATCATACAATATTTATATATATTTATTTTCTATGTGATTATTCTTGTATAAATTAGAAATAGACTTGTGTGAACTTATGATTATGCAGACTGCTTAATAGCTAAGTGAGAATTGAGTTCTTGACTTTGAACTGCCAATCTTAAGATCATTTCCATAAAACAAAGGTAGTTATATATGCCAGGGAACAATGGTTGCAGTCAATACATTTTTTAAGACTATATGCCCTGGTAATTCAAGTTCTAAAGCCTAGTCTTTCTTACTTTCAGTGTTATCTAGTTGTTCATGTATATATAAATAAAACATGCAACTCACATTGACAATTCCTTCTCTCATACCTATTAGAAAAAGAAAAAACCATCATTTCTTCTATAGGGGTCATTTGGTTATTCCACTCATGTATGAGTAGTAAGGGATGTCGATAATATAAATCAAGTGTCGGGCACAACAATCCTTCCAGCCTATCATCTTTACATACCTTCAGAGTATTTTATGATCTGGATTTTTGAAGAATATTATAACGGTTAATTTACCCAAATTTTATTACAAAGCTTTTGTGATAAGTTCTTTATTGACTTAAATTAGAATTGGGTAGTTTCCAATTATAAAGGTTTTGTGGTAAGTTCTTTATTGCCTTAAATTAGAATTTAGCAGGTTTCAATTATAAAGCTTTTGTGGTAAGTTCTTTATTGCCTTAAATTAGAATTTGGCAGGTTTCAATTACAAAGCTTTTGTGGTAAGTTCTTTATTGCCTTATATTAGAATTTGACATGTTTCGATTATAAAGTATTTGTAGTAAGTTCTTTATTGCCTTAAATTAGAATTTGGCAGGTTTCAATTACAAAGCTTTTGTGGTAAGTTCTTTATTGCCTTAAATTAGAAATTTGTTGACATTCTATTTTAACTTAATAGCATGAAATAAATGCAAATCAATATGCAATCCTATGTTGAAATTTAAGTTACTCTCTCTCTACATATATATACCCAAAGATACGTAAGTCTTTATCTCTCACTCTTCTTATTTTAAAAATAAATAAACTATAGAAAAAGGTTAGAAGTTATTCCAATTTATTTCCATCATGGGCCCCTAGCAATTATACACATTATGATGAGACATATATTGGTTATCAATTTTATTTAAAGAGATACTTGATTTGAAAATTTTCATGGTGCTCAATGATTATAAATATTTCAAGTTCAACAATATATGTATATTTGTGTTATATTTTGTTTTCTTGCTTTCTACAAAGATTAAGAATATTTTGTTTAGATTGATAATGTTGTTTACTTTTTTAGCCAAGTTGTGACTTACTTTTCGTTTTTTTTTTTTAATTATTAGTATTCTTTTGTTTATTTATAAAATTAAATATGTACTCATGAGGATGTGATGCTGAGCTATTATTTTTCAATGAGATATAATTATCATTGACATCTTATCATGTTTTGTGTACGTCCAAATGGCATTAAAATATTTAATGATGTATCATGTTAGATTGAATTATCATATTGGTGATAGATGTTCATTATATAATGAGAGTAAATCATCATTTACCAAATTAGGATTGAATTTGTTACCTCTATGATTATCAATGAACATTAAGAAAATGAGAGCAATTACAGATCTAGCATGCTAGACTATATTAGATTAATTTTTGTTATTAATGACAACCACATATTGAGAATAGTGGGAGCCATTATCGAATAGTTTGATAACATCATCGATTTGAAACGTATTGAACATGTCAAAAAGGAATGATATTATATTTCTTTCATTCATTATTGTTAAGGTTGAGACCACTTAAAGATTTCTTTATGTATATAATAATACCAACAACTTTGTCAAATTATTATTGTTTTTATTATTTAGACCTATGATCCGAATTTGAGCTTTGGCTTAAAAACCAGTTGTGGATGACATGTTTAAGAAACAAGTGAAAGCAATAGGCATTTTTTCTCCTGACTAAAAGATATGTTCAACGTGTTGGTGAATTATTGATAAGGTATACGAGAAATCCCATGCAGGTAGTATGAGGCAATGTCATCTATAAAACCATTGAGGCTAAGAAATTCAAATGTGGTGTTTGACCACATTGGTAGGGTATATGTGAAATCCCATGCAAGTAGCATGAGGCAATGCCGTATATATAGTTATTGAGGTCAGGAAATCTAAGTGTGGTGTATGACCATATTGGTAAGGTATATGAAAAATCCCATGTAGGTAGCATGAGGCAATGCCATATACAAAACCATTGAGGCCAAGAAATCTAAGTGTGGTGTTTAACCACATTGGCAAGGTATATGTGAAATTCCATGCAAGTAGCATGAGACAATGCCATATACAAAGTTATTGAGGCCAGGAAATCTAAGTGTGATATATGACCATTCTAGTAAGGTATATGAGAAATCTCATGCAGGTAGCATGAGGCAATGCCATATATAAAACCATTGAGGCCAAAAAATCCAAGTGTGGTGTATGACCACATTAGTAGGGTATATATGAAATCCCATATAGTAAGCATGAGGCAATGCCATGTATAAGGTTGTTGAGGCCAAGAAATCTGAGTGTTGTGTATGACCACATTAGTAGGGTATATGTAAAATTTCATGCAAGTAGCATGGGGTAATGCTATATATAAGGCTGTGGAGGCCAGGAATCTAAAAGTGGTGTGTGACTACACTGGCTGGGTATATAAAAATCCCATGTGGAATGCATGATGACATGTCAAGTACAAGATGTTAAAGGGCCTTCAGGCCAAGTGAGAGTTGTTGGAAATGTGGCCTATCAGACCCTTTTTCTCCCATAAATTCTTTTTTTTCAGTAGTGGTTCAAAAGCTATATTGAAGTA